GCGAATACAGACATTATTAACCTCAACGTTTTAGAGAAAAATTAGAATCTAAGAAATGTATAGTCAATCTAGAGCTTCAGTAGGGTGGTATAATAAACTGCCTGTTTTAAAATGATAAAGACTTCCAAGAATAAGATGCAGGTTCCAGAAAGAGAAAATTGTGCATATGTGCCCAAACAAAACGGGAGGGAAAAAAGACCTAATGACTGAATAACTCTGGTGTTCTATATCTGACAGAATAAAGTTTAAAAAAAAAAATCAACCTCAAATGCAAATGCTCCATTCTGATGGCTCAGCTGATCAGCATTCCCCTACTCTAAATCTAGCCACCCTCCCCCCCTACTCAAATTAATCAGCCTTATATACAAGGTTAAAAAACCTCCAAACTTCTAAAAAATAAATTGAGATTCTTTATGGTAGGAATCTTTAAGTGTCCTAATTCTTCAGCCTTGTTAAAAATGAAAACAAACAAAACATGGGTCTTCAATTCTGTGTCTGAGATCTCAAATTTGGCTCTGAATATGTGTTTCAAATCTCATTAATTAGAATATTGGCCCCATGAGATACAGTTGCTGATACAAAGAACACTCTTTGTACTCAAAATAATTTGAACAAGGGCAAAGAAGCATTTTATTTACGTGTGTAAACATTAAGAGAAAAATAAAACAGAGATGATGCTTCAGGTAGCTGCTTAGATATTTTAAAGATAACTGATTTGATTACTTAAGCTGTAAGGTTATGAGATAGAGTAACAGCTATGTTTTCACTTTGTGTATTTGTTGCATGATAACATTCTTATAAAGGTAACTCTGACATTAACTTGGCAAGTTCTGAACTAAGACCTTTTGGCATTTTATTATTTCCAGATACTAAGACCAAATTGCTTTGAATCCCATACCCCACTGTGCAGATCTATAATTTATTTATTTTTTAAATATCAGAAAACAGGCCATTATTCAAAAGACTTTTCCATGTAACAAATCTGGGTAAAGATCAATCAAATGAGTAACTTACAGCAATAAACAGCAAACAGCCCTTCTTGTTTTCTTCATTTTCCTTTCTCTTTAGGAAATAGCAAATTAAACCATGACTATTTGTGGTCTTGCACTATAAGAACACATGTAGTCATATATTTTCATCCTATTAAATCTATTAGCTCAATGGATAAAAAGTAAAGTCCACTGTAAAGATGTCTTAGTGTCTTACATGGGGAAGGTCATCTGTTTTGTAGAGCCACAACCTAAAAATCTTTCTCTGAAAGATGGTGCCCATTGGCTGTCTGTAAATGGGTACTGAGAGCAGAGTTCAACAGCCCTGGGGCTTACAAAAATATATAGATGCCTGGGTCCATCTGATTTAGTTAGTCTGGGCTGGGGTTCCAGATCTGGTATTTAAAAACAAACGAACAACAACAAGAAAAAAGTTCTAAGGCAATTCTAATGTGTCGTGACTGAGAATTAGAGAGGATCCCAAGACCAGTGCAAAGATAATATAGAACTTAGGTAACAGTACAAAGCCCACTCTTGGTTTAAATGGAAACCTTACCTTATTCCAGGTGTGGGCAGCAGCTGCCAGAGTTCCCCCCTTTGACAGCATTCTCTAATCAGTACCTAATAGGGAATGTTCTACGGGTGATGGAGCCTGGGGATGCTAACAATTTTCTGAGTTAAAGCTAATGGAAGTAGATTAAATTGAACAGCAAATTACATGGCACCAAACTTGAAGGTAGAGTTTGTAAACACTGACAGCCTGATAGACATTTGGGCATTTCGAACCAAAGTTCGTTAAAAGAGGGAGGTTAAGATCTGAAAGAGACACGTGCACCCCAATGTTCATCGCAGCACTGTTTATCATAGCCAGGACATGGAAGCAACCTAAATGCCCATCAGCAGACAAATGGATAAGGAAGCTGTGGTACATATACACCATGGAATATTACTCAGCCATTAAAAAGAATCCATTTGAATCAGTTCTAATGAGATGGATGAAACTGGAGCCCATTATACAGAGTGAAGTAAGCCAGAAAGATAAAGACCATTACAGTATACTAACACATATATATGGAATTTAGAAAGATGGTAACGATAATCCTATATGCAAAACAGAAAAAGAGACACAGATGTATAGAACAGACTTTTGGACTCTGTGGGAGAAGGCGAGGGTGGGATGTTTCAAGAGAACAGCATCGAAACATGTATATTATCTAGGGTGAAACAGATCACCAGCCCAGGTTGGATGCATGAGACAAGTGCTTGGACCTGGTGCACTGGGAAGACCCAGAGGGATCGGGTGGAGAGGGAGGTGGGAGGGGGGATCGGGATGGGGAACACATGTAAATCCATGGCTGATTCATGTCAATGTATGACAAAACCCACTACAATATTGTAAAGTAATTAGCCTCCAACTAATAAAATAAATAAATAAATAAATAAAAAGAAGGAGGTTATTACTTCTTCTGTTAGGGGAAGCACACCGATTGAAACCACCTACCCTGGCCAGGCACCATAGTAACTATTTGCATGAGTTGTTTTATGACAGGAGGTCTTGGTAAAGAACACGGAACTAATAAGCCACCACCAACCAGTAGAGTTTGGGAAAGGTCAAAAGGAGACACCACATGTCGGACCACCTCTCAGAATCCTTCTCTCTGGCATCCACCTTGGCTGAACAAGGTGTGCACCACTAGGAAGGACTCTGAGTCAGAATGATTGGCTAAAGACAACCCAGAAACTAATCCCATCACCATAAAACCCAAGACTGCAAGCCATGTAACGGAGCAGTTCTCCTGGGTCCACTTACCCTCCTGCTGTCTGCCCGGGCGCCCTTTCCCAATAAAATCTCTTGCTTTGTCAGCACATGTGTCTCCTCAGACAATTCATTTCTGAGTGTTAGACAAGAGACCAGTTTCGGGCCCTGGAAGGGGTCCCCCTTCCTGCAACACTTCCAAGTACCTCAGAGCCCAAGAATGTCCTGTCCCCACCACTGCAGGTCATTGTAAACAGAGAGAAGAATTTTGAATAAGAAAGGGTAAATTACCTCTCTTGAAAATCAACTTAAGCCAATGTGACTTTTTAAATTTTCTTTATCTTCACTTCTATTGGTTGAATTTTTGTCCTTTTAATAAAAGCATGTTTATTTTTCTTGTATCCTTTTGTATTAGTCAATCCTCTACTGTTATTGTTATCTTTTGCTATCATATTCTACAGCTACTTCATTTAATCTTGTTTTTCTTATTTTTCTTTTTACACTTTACCTTTTCCATTTTTTTCGTTTTCCTTAATGTAGCAGGTCCCTTCTCTTCATTTTTCCGTGTTTGATTTATGTCTGGTTTGCCAGCATCTTTTCTGATTCTTTGATTTTTACTAACTGCCCTTCCTTAACCTTCTGTTGATGTTATATTCCTATCACTTGCCATCAATGCCCACACAAGCCTATTTCTTTCCATTCCATCTATCTCCGAATCTCCATATACATTTTTATGATCCAACTACTAAAAGTTTAAAGCTTAATGTGAGGAAAAGAAAGTTACCTTTCTCCATTTGAATGCTATTTCCTCTCCCCTCCCATAGCTGTTCCATGTCTTTTTATCCTTTTTTGATGTTTTCCCCTATCTGACCCCCAACTGCACCCCACTTCCCCTGTCACTCCCTATTTTATGCCCATCTCTTCTTTTTAACCGTGTTTGCACTCTGTCTCATTTTATATCCAAGGATCTCCACAAGAAAAAGGATGGAGTTCAGTTGGGAGCCAGGTTGTGTGTGTTTTCAGAAACTTTTTCGCCTTTACTGAAATGGGATTGGGGCCTGGGATCCATGAGTATTCTTGGGCAGCCTTTCAGCTCTGGCAAAAGCTTTGTACACCTTGGAGCACGGCTGGGGCCTATTCTGATGGACAAAGACAGGGATGTTTTTAAAAGCCTTCTACGGTCCTTTCCACTCCAAAGGTCAGGATGAGTTGGCATCAACGCCCAAGGCTGGAGAGGCAGGCCAGGTGGGGATACCCGGGGCCCTTTTCTGCAGTAGGTACGGCGTGTCTGATCTTAGGAGGACGAGGTGGGGGCCACTGAGGCCCCAGGAGCCACTGGGTCATCTTTGGGAGGCAGGCTCACCTCTACAGAAAGGAGCCAGGCCCGAGCCTGAGTGCTCCCCCGGGCTGCAGGGCGCGGCCCCAGGAGCCAGGCGACGCCACCCCAGCGGCGCCAAGGGCCGGAGGCACAGTCCCTCCCCGGAGGGAAGGCGAGTCGCTCCCGGTCGCTCAGCCAGAAGGTCGAGGGAACTGTGCGCGTGCCCCCCGCCAGCCGGCCCTCTGGGAGTTGGGCGGGGGCGACACCGCAGGGAGTAGGGCCGAGGACCGCAGAGATCAATCCTGGGTACCGGCGCGGGGTCACAGACAGGAGAGGAGCGGGAGAAAGGGGCTTGTGGGGGGGGGCTCCCCAGGGCGGCTGGGGCCGTAGATCCGCCTGTGTACTCGGCGGGCGCCCCGAAGTCTGGGGCCGCGGCAGCTCCGGCTCCGCCGGCTCCTGCCAGAGACTCCAGGCCGCACTTTCCCCTCCTCCCGGCGCCTTCTCTCCAGTGAGGAGCCGAGCGCGGGCGGTGCGGGGGGAGGGGCGGCGGCGGAGGGAACAGCCAGTTGTTTAAAATCCTTCTAGAGCAGTTTCTAATTCCCCCCTTGCGCCGGGGTTCGGAGGGGGGAGGGAGGGAGAGGAGCGGGAGGAGGGAGGAGAGCGGAGAGGAAAGGAGGGAGGGAACCCGGGAGGGAGGGAAGGAGGGAGGAGACTGCCGCTTAGGCTGTAGCAGCCGCCGCGCGCTTCGGCAGGCCGGAGGGGGTGGGGGGAGGCCTGTCAGTCTCGTGCGTTGCCTGGGCGAAGGGGGCGGAGCTTTGGCGTGGGGCGGCCAATAGTGGGGGTGGCTGCGTGGGTCGCCATGGGGACGGGGCTGTTCCCGGGGAGGCTGTGATGGGTTGACAGGTGCGTGACAGTGGGAGCTGCTCTCGGCACAAGCATGTACGGCAAAGGCAAGAGTAACAGCAGCGCCGTCCCGTCCGACAGCCAGGCCAGGGAGAAGTAAGTGTCTCCGCTTCTCACCCACCTCCGCCTTCTCACGCGCGCACACACACACACGCACGCACTCGCACACTCTCTCGGAGACACCCAGACACACAGACACTCTCTGCCGGGGGAGAGCCGGGGGGTGGGCTGGCAGGGGGAGGGGTGCGCGAGGTGGGGGGCGTGCGGTGCGGGGAGCGGCTGTTTCCCAGGAGGGGCTCGCGCGGGGCTGGCGGCTCCGGGGTCTGGCGGGCAGGAGGGAGCGAGTGTGTCGGGGGGCGGCGGCGGTGCTGGTGGCGGGGATGGAAACTTGTTTGGGTGATTGAGGGAAATAACCCGCGGGTTCACCTCCTCGCAAAGTAACTTTAGAGCTGGGGTCTGGGGCTGCGGGGAGCGGAGAGCCTCCGGGGATAGAGGTTGGGCGGGAGGGGGCAGCTGCGTGGAGGAGGGCACGCGGAGGGAATGTGGGTGTTCGGTGGGGGCGGGCCGGGCAGCTTGAGGGGCGCCGCGGCAGGGGACTCGGGCGCCGGGGCCGGGAGCGCCTGGCGAGGCGAAGGCAGCGGGGCCGGGCGCGCGGCGGGCGGAAGCCGGGCGTGGAGCGGCCGAGCGGGGCCCCGCTGGGCGCGGAGACGCGCGCGGGGCGCGGAGGGCGTGTGCGGGGCGTGGGCCGGGTGGGCGTCGGGGCTCTCCTGGTCCGGAGGAGGGACGCCGCGTTCGCAGCCCCGTGCGCCGCGCGGAGCCCGGGGCAGGGGGCGCCAGGGGCGCCGCTGAAGTTTGGGAGTCAAAGGACCGAGTTCCCGGGGAGGAAAAGTGTGCTGGCGAGAAGCGGGAGCTGCTGGGGTAGGGTGGCGTTTCTGCCGCTCGCAGTCGACCCAACTCGGCGGCGGCGGCGGCTGGAGAACTTTTTTTTGGAGGCTTGCAGCCTCCCAAACGTAGAGGGCCGTGGCGGTCCGGGCGGCGAGCGGGGGTCGCGGGGCGCAGAGGAGTAGCTGTGGGGGCCGCGGCCGCTGGCGCGAGGAGGGTTGTCTGCGGTGGGGAGGGGGCAGCGGTCCGAACCCGGACTTGCAGGAAGGGTCGAAGCGTGGAGACGGGGAGGAGTTAGTTGTTTGGTCGGTGTGGCGAGGAGATACAGGTGTTAACTCCGGTGGGAGCCCAGGGGAGGCTGGCGAGAAAAGAGCCCCTCCCGGGCTGGGATGCCGCCGTCACGGCACGCTGCGAAGCAGGGTTGTTTGCTTCTCTTCTTATGTGCTTGTAACGGTGATTTGGTTGTTACTAAAAATGAGAGCGCATAGTGACTGGGACCACTGAGGAAGAACCCCTCTTTTCTGTGCAGCAGATCTTATGGTGATTCCCACTAACCACCTCCATTCTGAGGATGAGGCGTATCCCTGTCATTGGACGCGCTCTGCCCTTCCGAGGACTTCAGACTGGGGAAAAGTCTGAGAGCATCTCTCAAAAGCTACTTTAGTCACCTTGCACAAGGAAATAGCTGCGTAAATAAAAACCGAACGTGCAGAAACTACCGGGTTTCCCTCCTAGTTTTAGGCAGTTAGTAGTCTTCTGAAAGTTTCTCGTGCCCTAGGGTTGGGAACATTTCCTAATCTTCGTGTTGGCAGCAATAAACGCAATTCCTATAGGATTTAGGGGCGGCAGGCCTTGGCATATCAAAACAAACCAAAAAAAGATACTCCCCGCCGCCCCCCCCCCCCCCGAGGTATTTTCTGAGCTGTATTCAGGATCTAGTTGCTGTGACAAGGAGTATGTAAAAGACTTAGCATTATAGGTTGGTTAAGAAATAGCAAATTAATGGAATTGAAGTTTTGAGAGAGCGTAATTTGTGTGCATTTATCATTTAGTGGCAGTATAGCTGAGAAAATAGAAACATTTAGAGAAGATGTTTTAATGATTACAGAGTATTTGGATTTCATATTTTGGGGAGTGAAGGAATTGAAATGTTGTATTGAGGTATATCTTACTTATTTTCAGGGTGGTTTTTGAGAATCAAATTTTGCGTATTACTTGAACTTCCAGGAATGGCTGAATTTAATCTATATTATGATAACTTTGTAAAAAAATTTTAAAATCATCTAGCATAATAATGAGGAAGTTGAACCTGGTGTGTCTTAAGTCCTTTCTAGCTCTAATTCTGTGGTTATGTCATGAAAACAAATAATTGCCATTTTGCTGTCAAGTCTACCAAACTGAACACCAAGTAACATCTACACTTGTAAGCCAGGTGGTGAGAGTTCTGCTAGATGGTGCTATTTGATTTAAATAAATTTCTTCCATTCATTATAATTGGCAGCAGGAATCCTGGATTGCTTTGCCTTACGAACTAAATATAGGTAAAGAGGCCACTTTTGGAGAACTGACAATGATCATTCTGAGTTAACTGTTGTTGCGTTAATTTCTAGGTGAATGTTGTTTGAATCTAAGACAAACATTGAGGTAGATTCTGTTTGATGCAGTAAGTTTCATTTTGCTAGAAGAGTTGATCTGATTACTCATTTTTTGCCCTTTATGTGTACTTGGGACTTTAATGGCACTATTCCACAATAACCTACTGACTTCTGAAGATAGGTATCTTGAAGTTGTCTTTAAAATGGATATCACCAGATTAAAAAAATTTTTTTAAGGAGGCAGACCTCAAAAAGTGCCTGAGTGAAGAATATTCTTTTATATAGCGAATTAGAACTGTACTGGCCTTAAAAGTCACAGAAATAATGTTTTCCAGTAATGAATATGTAAACATTTTACAATAGAAACATTCTGAAAAATGAATCATCATTAAAAATAATGGCATGCACATAAAATAAAAATACTGGTTTTATAATCCATCAAGAAATACATTTTCTTATGAGTTCATAGAGGAGAGCAGACAGGCCCTTATCTATATTATATCTTTGCTTTCTCTTTCATTAAGTCACTATATGCAATACTTGAAACTAATTTGTAGATTTTATGCAGGTTCTATATTTTCACTATACATTTCTGAACATAAAAATGACTGGAGTCAGGTTAATTACTGATTTCGTTGTTTTAAAAGCCAGACGGATCAAGTCTATACAGAAGTTTGGATTAGGTTTAATTATAGACAGGGTGATTGAAAACCCTTGGAGGGAGGAGGGATGTTTGTGTAGAAATTTAAATTCTGATCCTGTTAGGTCATTTCCCCCTTTAGCAGTCTTTCTTTGTAACATTGTACTGCAGTCTCAATTGCAATTAAGTAACTATGCAATTGGTTGTTTAATATTTGCCTTCCTCTAAAATGTAAGTTTCTTGAGGGCAAGGGATAATACTTCAGATTTCTTCTCTGAGCTATCCTTGACATTAAGAATAGTGTCTTCAACTGTCAAAAGCACCAACTAAATGCTGTTGAATAAATGAAGATGTTAGACTCAAGAGCATTTTTTCAATGTGAAAAAATTTTTTTTCAGTGACCTCCAAAATAAGGACTTTGGAAGTTTGAATTCCATATTATCTAGCTTAAGGGTATTTAAAAATTAACTGATAACAGCAGAAGAGTAATCATTATTTAAATTGTCATTCTGTGTGTAAGTCACTGTGTTCTGCACTTTATTTTTTCTAATTCTCCCAACAATTCAGCAAGATACTGATTTTTTTTTTCTTCATTAAAGAAATAAGAAAACTCTTGACTAGTTAAGTAACTTTGCCTAGGGATGCACTACTAGCTGGGTTTCCAACAAAGATATCTCTGCTTAAAATCTATAGTTGAAGATGAAAGATACATTTTTTTTTTCATTATCCTAGTTTTCTTTCTTGATTTAGGGTAGAATGCTACAGATTTAGGGAACAGCTTTACATAATCAGATATAACAGACTTTATTTTTTTTTTTTTTTTTTTTTTTTGCGTGATCTAGATATATTTTTCCTTTATCATCCAAGACAGACACATGCATGAATTAGTTTATATATAACAGACTTTAAATGTTTGATCAGATAGGTAGTGTTTACCATTGGTGAACCTTATGCTGATACCCTCCATTTTGACAGGTTGCAGACACGTGTGTTGTGTGGGGAAAACAGAAACTTTAGGAGGGAAAGTTGAAAGCCTAAAATAATGAAAAATTCTTGTTTCTTGAGATTTTTTTCCTTCTGGAACTTTTGTGTGATCACTTAAGTTTTAAAGTTAGACATTGTAGTGAGCAAGTTCTGTATGAAATGTTGCTGAATTTTTGACCATTCTGTATGCCACGCTGCCACATAAAGAGTACCTGGCACCTGCAAATAGATGAGTGTGATACTACTTTTTGTTAAACTAATTTCATCTTTAAAATTATGTAATAGCACAGAAAGATGAATGTGTCATAAAGCAACATTGAACAAAGATACATGTACTAAATAGTGACATTAAGTTAAACTTGTCAGGAACTATAGAAATCTGTACATTTGACCTGTGGCTCTGAAAAGTAACTTTGGTTTTTAAACTATGAAAACTACATAAACTCATTTTTAAGTGGTTAAAATCTAATGATCATTTAAATATGATTTCATATAGACTGTCATGGTTATGCATGAAATAGAAGTTAGTCAAATGAATTTTGTAAATTTGGAAAAAACAATAAATACTACTCCATGTAAGAGAGTTTGTAGATACTAGCATCAGCATGACCTCTTTTTTGTTAGTAAGTTGCCCCCCCTAAAAATGGTAAACTTTTCTTCTTCCTTCCTTCCTTTTTTTCCTGAAGGAAATAAGTCAAGTGAAGTAATACAGATCTCGTTAGAAACTTGATTGAGAAGCAGTTAATGCATTTAACACAATTCAAGATTTCTAAAACTAATGAAGGAATACCTTTATGGGGATTCAATTTTCTATACGATATTCAATTGACTGTTCCCTTCTCAATCCCCAGGATATTTCCTCCAAAATAACTTGTATCTAATATGTCAGCTCTGGGAGCCTTACTTTTGATTGTTCTCCTTTCCATTATTTTAGAATTATCCAAAAAATGATGTTTTTTGAAGGAACAAATCTAAAGAAAAAAGTGTAAGATGTG